TAGCGACACGTTTTTCGAGAAATAACTTTATTATTTAAAAGTTCTCGGTCGCTACACATCTAACAATATGGCTGGTGTGGCACGTCATTGTAAAAAAAAAAATGATATGTTATCTTGAGGTGCTGCAAAATATAAGGAAACGTGAAGCTGAAAACTGCAATTTTCATCTGGAAATTCAAAATTTAAAATTATGTCTTCATGAAATTGAATGAGAGGGTCTAGACGACCTGCATGTAAAATCTCATTTTAGTGTTTTCAAAGTATTTTTTTACAATGATGTGTTGCATCAACCATACCGTTATACACGTCATCAAATCCTTCTAATTTTGCAAACGTCATTTACACAGTGATGTATAGGGTAGTAATTTTCAAAGTTTAGTGCCTAACATGAGCAATTTTGAAGTTCAGTGACCCGTAGAAACTTTACGAAAAGTTCAGTAACCATTTAGCGAATTAGCCCGCAATTTCAATGCCAAGTTAACTATGTTGTGCATCCTAAGTGTATTTAAACGCTAAAATGAAAAATAGATATTAAATACGGTATTAATTTCTAAACACGGAAACTTCTAATAACCATGTTTCTGAAAAGGATCTTGATACATGTATATCAAGATTTACGTAATGAATTACATAATGCCACATTTCACTCTACCATTTATCAGTTTAAAACACAGTCAACTTTTTCATATAATATTTTCCTTCCACATCATATTATGTAATCCTTATGTACATTTTTAATATACTGTTAGGAATATTGGGCCTAATTCCACCTAATAAAACCGGCTTATTAGGGGAGGATTGCCCTCACCTTATTAAGTGGATCATTTATATTTTCCCAAGCAATGTGGGATTCTAATACGCTCTCTCACGCACAGCGTGGACCATGCCAAACNTAGGGTTTAGCGACACGTTTTTCGAAAAATAACTTTATTATTTAAAAGTTCTCGATCGCTACACATCTAACAATATGGTTGGTGTGGCACGTCATTGTAAAAAAAAAAATGATATGTTATCTTGAGGTGCTGCAAAATATAAGGAAACGTGAAGCTGAAAACTGCAATTTCCATCTGGAAATTCAAAATTTAAAATTATGTCTTCATGAAATTGAATGAGAGGGTCTGGACGACCTGCATGTAAAATCTCATTTTAGTGTTTTCAAAGTATTTTTTTACAATGATGTGTTGCATCAACCATACCGTTATACACGTCATCAAATCCTTCTAATTTTGCAAACGTCATTTACACAGTGATGTATAGGGTAGTAATTTTCAAAGTTTAGTGCCTAACAGGAGCAATTTTGAAGTTCAGTGACCCGTAGAAACTTTACGAAAAGTTCAGTAACCATTTAGCGAATTAGCCCGCAATTTCAATGCCAAGTTAACTATGTTGTGCATCCTAAGTGTATTTAAACACTAAAATGAAAAATAGATATTAAATACGGTATTAATTTCTAAACACGGAAACTTCTAATAACCATGTTTCTGAAAAAGATCTTGATACATGTATATCAAGATTTACGTAATGAATTACATAATGCCACATTTTACTCTACCATTTATCAGTTTAAAACACAGTCAACTTTTTCATATAATATTTTCCTTCCACATCATATTATGTAATCTTTATGTACATTTTTAATATACAAGTAGCAAAATTCTTCTAAGAAATGGGCTCTTGACCAAAGTTCAAGGCTGTGCCCTTGTGCTCTTATAATTTTTGACTTTTTTCGAGTATTCATCATTTGAATCAACAGATGGTTACTCTACTATTTTTAACCCTTACTGGAGCCCCATTTTATCAAAAATTCAGTTTTTTAAAATTTATTTTCAATCACATTCTTCAAGAAAAAAAATTTATGAGTAAATCGAAAAAAAATTCTTATTTTTCAATCACACATTCTCCAAAAAACACTACTCCAAATACATTTTTTCACTCAAAATGGGGCTCCAACAAGGGCTTCATTGAACCGAAGGACAATTAGAATGTTGTTGTTTCTCGGCTTCTATACGCACGCATGAAAACTCTATTCTAAATTAGCCATCAGAATCTCTTCAGCCACCACTCTCCCTTCTTAGCAACCGTCCAGACAGGACTATTCGAGCTGTTTATTTACTATTATAGCATCTTCAAACATATTTCAGGATCTCAAAATATAGACTAAAATCAATATAAAAGGAAAAGAAAAAGGAAACGTAGTTGAATGTCCAAATCAAAGTTTGTAGATTCCTACCACATGTTCCTTTCTTCTGATTAATCTTAATTTATTCAAATAATACACACCAGATACATGTATTGGTGTTCAGAATGAATATATATACATACAGCTTTTGATAATTAGTGGATTAGTTTCTTTTCCTGAATTCAGAGAACACTATATTTGTTTTAGTAATTTTTCTAGAAGTTGTACGAGGGCTTAATGATTAATACTCATTGGTGGTAACAACTTTTGTTCATAACTGTAGTAATATTTTTTGATTGTTTCCTAAGCAAATTATGGTGGTTCAACAAGAGGGGTTTTGGAGACTTGGCTTTGAAACTAAGGTATGTTTCCCATCATTTTAACATGCAATACACGAACATGGTAGAGCGACATTGAGATGAAATATAAATAAACAAATATGTCTTATCTCTAACAATAGAATGAAGGGTGTTTTGAGATAATTTGTTTATTTTGCGTTTTTGCCCTCGCGCGCAGAAGGGCCTGTCCAAAGTACATCAATAACTCAGAGGTAGCAAAACAGAACAAATCACAAATTTTGTCACATTCTTCCGTTTTTTTATTTTGTCCAACAGTAATTCAACGTATCAAACATGCCCGCAATATGTAATTTCTCAAAAGTATATCATCACAACTTTGGGAATGTCTTGTTCACATTTGAAAAGTCATCAAACACCCAAAATCAAGAAATTTACTGCTGATTTCTGAAAAATGCTATAATCTGATTATAAACAATATCCTTGGCTGTTTCTCCCATTATGAAATCCGCGTGTGCATAATCATTTATATACTGAACATGGAGCTTGTCTTCATCATGTAATTTAAGGCTATCAAGCAAAGTCTCCACATCTTTTACATCAGAGAGTGCATCTTCCCCTCCATAACTCAGATAGATGGGCAGATCACTGGGTATTTTCGACAAATCGTAAATTGGAGGTTTTGATTCCCCATAATGCTCTTCATTGAAGTCAGCATTTCCATAGTCATATCTTGACAGGATTCCATCCCGAACAGCTGCAAAAAATAATTTTTGACGTTTCATTGAGTTAATTATCTAGCCGACATGAAAATTATATTTAACCCCTGTGAGCCCCATTCTTTAAACTCATTTCCCTCAAACTCATTTTCAGCCGCACATTTTTTCAATAAAATAATTTTGCTCGTAAACCCGAAACTTTCCCATAGTCAGCTAACCTAAATAATGTATCTCTCTATCCCGGATCCTGAAGTTCCCTGGTTGAACAAAGTTAAAATAGTGAACTTACTTTGAGCCAAATGAACTAAATTCTTAGTCGCAGTAGATTGAGGTTCATTCTTCAAGAAAAGCTCAACAGTGGAGTTACTGAGACAGCAGTTCTTTCCTGCATTTAGAAAATTATGAACAGAACATCAGTAAGTGCACGTAACATTTGAACTTTATTTTTTCATCTAAATTTTGTCTAGCACTGTATAATCCACCTAATCAAACAAATAATTACCTGTAAGAGCGGCTAGCAAGTCATAACAGTCCACCTCTGGGTCGGTACACAAAGCCTTGAGAAAGTTGGATACGGGCTCCCTTAATTTGAAAGAACAAGAGATGTTAAGTTATTACAAATAGTTGTAACAAAGCTGCACATGGTTTAATATCCGAGGTTCTTTACCCTTTAGGATTGAATTCCGCAAGTCCAAATATTGTAGTGATCTGTAGATGACATTAATTGGAAGAAACAAGTGTTTAAAGCATTTATAAATTACAATTCTACATAAGCAATACAGAAAAGGAACACACATGGCTGAGCTTAAAACTTTACCAATGTAAATAAGTTATAAATACATCGTTAATGAGATAGAAATTTATGAAAATTAGAAATAAGTTACTTGTTTCCACATTAATTTAAGGGTTACCTTATAAGTAAATTCCTTGTTAATGAGATAGAAATTTTTCTACATCATTAGCATCCCATGAAACTCAATATATATATTGTTAACATGTATAAACCAAGAATGAATTATGCAAATATCTTTACTTCACCAACGAAAGCTCTTGCTACAAGAACACCAAGCGTTGTAGTCATGTGGCTCAAGTAAGCGATTGGACTCAACAATGTGGCTGATCTGACCTTGTCTATTAGTTTCCCTTCGGAGAAGGATGCTAAGGCCATTAAAGTTCCCTGTAAATATATTTTCATTAATGTGAAGTAAATACACTTTTCTTTAGCTTTCTTGGAGAGTTTGTCAATTTTCAAGATCCTGATCTTACCATGGAATGGCCTACGTAGTGGATTTTCTGCCCGGATTGTTTGAACACGAACTCAATAATAGCTGGCAAGTCATGAAACACTAGATCATCCCATGTCCAATCCCAGAATTCCTGCCCAGTTTGAGTTTAGTAAGATAAAATTCTACGGCTAGTATACCAATACAGCAAGCCGTAGGTATTCTAATTATACATTCTAGAAGTTCATAAACCAATACTAAAATTGGTGCGGAAGCGTTTAGAAATTCTTGTAATAAGTATTGAAAATAAGAATTATATTGGAATAATCTTGCTTTGTATTGATATATGATTGATTGATTAAAAAGTGTACAATACCCCTATATTTATAAACCTAATTATCCCTAATCC